GTAACATTTGGTCACTTGTTTTCTTGATTCAAAATTCGGACAGAACTTATGGGATGACCAGATAGTTAAATATGCCGCAACACTCTTGAGATACTCATTTCCTTTTTCGGCCATGGGATATCTTATGCGTTAATTATTGCTAAATTTTTGTCTTTTGTAAGCGAAAATCAAAGTGTATTGGTAATTCGTCATCCTAAAATAACGGACACCTGAACATTATCGGAGATTGCTTGGTAGAAACGTCTTACCTGTAATAAGAAGTATAGCAAGAAAAGATTAACACAACAGTTCGAATAAGTCAAAGTGTATTGGTAATTCCACATTTCAAAAATCATAGGCAAAAAGGCGCCGATATATTCATAGAGCATAAAACGATTACTTGGCTACTTATTTTAGTTCATTATGTTACTTATAATTACACAAATAATAGACATTGCATTATTTAAACAAATAAGCCGTAAACAATTAACAGTAGTTTTTTATAGACATCTGCCATTTATATTATTACCAACTAAGACTGTTTTTTTTATATATTTAAAGATGTTCTAAGTATTAATCGAAATAAGTATTGCCTAATTTGTTGTGGTGCTAGCATCTGTTAGGTTCTCAGCTATGGTTAAATAACGTCAAAAATTGTATCAGTACATGAAAATAAAAAAAATAAATCAGAAAAAATTACCAGTAATACAATTTTGAATAAAATACAAAAAATCCCACGAGAAAATATAATTTCGGCATAAAATGACCCATAAGGAGTTGATACGCCGTTAAACAAACAAACCCAACCAAATTTAATTTGTTGCGAACATAAAACGCACTGACTGATTTTGTTTAAACGTGATATTTTACTGTGTGTCCTGCTAATTTATTCTAGGAATTAATTCGTTTTTAGGCTTCTTTTCTGGTTTGGAAATGCTGTTAACCTTTTCAGGGCTCTTCATAAAATCGTGCTGTTAAGAATGTCTTCTTTGTTATCCTAGTTTGTTTCATTCAATCTGCATCAAGTGGTTTTTCAGGCTGACCTTCAGCTACTAATATGTTTGTGGAAGAAGCTTAATTATTTCATTACCAAATTGCATTCCTCCAGATCTCAGATCTCTAGACCGTTTGTCCTACGTCCTTACCACTGAGTCACATATTCAGTTGCCGAACCGTTGCAATTGCATACTTGAGCCTGACGGAAAATTATTCAAATTACTTTCTGACAGCTGTACAATGTTAAGATATAGTGCCGTCAATTGCGTCAGCATTTTTCTTTTGGTATCAATAGAAAGACAAGAAGGAAGGAAGCACGAGGAAATCCGTTGCATGCGAAAAATAGAATTGGCGTGATTGTTCGCGAGACGAGTTTGAAGATAATTGTAACTCGGAAATCAATTTACGGAGGCCAACGTTGCCGGGAAAATGCTGTTAAATTTCAACTGCGCACCGTTCAAAATATTTTTAAAAAATGGTCGCACACTATCCAGCAAAAGTATTTCTCTGATGCCGTTGCCATATTGTTGAGAATCGAATATCTGCGTACAGTGATTATAAGTTTTTCAACCCTTGGGCTGGTATCCAGGTTCAGTATCTAGTGTTCACAGTATCCTAGAAAGGTGCTTCTGCAGAAGAATACTGATAATTCCGTGTACGGATCGAATAAGCAACGAGGAAATTTTAAAGAAAATGGCAATATAAAAGAACTCTCATACTCGGAATCAGGAACAGACAGCTGAAATTTCTTGGACACCTAGTGAGGAAGGAGGGCTTGGAAAACTTAACACTGACAGGGCATGGCGACAAGAGAGATGGAGAAAAGCAGTGAGCCAACCTGACGAGCACGTGTAAATGGAAGCGGGAACCTTTTGCAAAGGTAGAAAAATCGCTAAGAGCTACAAGAGATAGGAAGTTGGGAAGAGCTATGATCGTTCATATCATGAAGGAACGCGGTACATAGAAGATGTTCACGTCCGTGAGTGGGACATGGCAAAAAGAAGTTGAGCCTGAACCAGAAGACTGAACTTAATATCATAAAGTTATGGAGGACATCTCCGTGTTACTGGTCACGTTAAACCAGTCAAGTGTCACCTCCTCCTCCTCTCGTAAGAGGGGTACATGAGTATGGGTTTCTTTCTTAAGTTCTCTACTAAAGTTCTTTGCGATCTTTCTATTTGATTCTATGGTACGCTGTAAATCTAACACCTACTAACAGATTTTTACCATTTTTTTTCAATATGACCAGTGACTATGAAAGTACTTCATAATCTTATCTCTATCTATAAAAGGCAGGATGTGTGTGTGTGTGTGTGTGTGTGCGTGTGTGTATCGAATGCACGGCCACAATTTTTGACGGATTTGGACCAAAATTTACATGCACATGCTCCAAGTTAGCGGGAAGGCCAAGACCGACTTTGCATTTCCCAACTCCCATCGATAGTGAAAATAATCGTTTTTTTTTTCATGCTTCTACGGCAGTTTTCATGTAGTTTGCGGCCATTTTGTATTGGCCAGAGTGAGAGCCAAGAGCTGGCTGCTATAAATAGGCAGGAAGATTCTATTGGCCAGCGTGAGAGCCAACAGCTGACTGACACGAATGTTAACTAGTATGCTAGCATGCAAAAAAATCGATAACTGCATTCGTCACAAGTTGGAAAAATTTAAATCTGCATGGCACTTTACTCCAATTATTCGCTTGCTTAAACTCAACGTTGATTCTGATTCCGCTGAACTGGGTTGGGTGTGAAAAAGTATTTGTTGTTAACATTCTTTTTTCATTCGGTTTTTCCAGTTACGAGTCCTTTTCCAAAGCTGATCATTTTGTGTTCATTTTTTTTAGTTCTTTTTTCGTAACAGATTTAATGTTTAGTATAGAGCTTAGAAAAAATTCGCAGTGTGAGATAGGCAAGAAGTAAGGCATGTAGCAACATCAGCACGGCAAAGGGCACTCCTTTAAAGGCAAGGAAGGGCAAAAATATTTTAAGTCAAGTGATAGCGATTGCTGTATGAGTTGTACGATTTTTGAATCAAGGACGGGCAACGCCGGGCCATGCTCCTAGTTTATTATAATCAAGAAGATATTTTGCCATCGACCAGCGTGTTCAAATTCAAGTAGTTTGCACAATTCTTCGCATCTGATCCCTTTCCTCCATACAACTGTTTCTGTTAATCTCCACTTTTCATTTCTTCTATGCACCCTATCCCTTCAGGACTTGTGAGATCATGGCTCTCCATAATTTCCTGTCATTTGTAGCTCTTAGTAAATTTGTCATTTTGCTATCTCTCCTAATCCCGGTTCTGTTATCAATTTACGTTAGGTACGCTATGTGCTGCTTTTCTCTGTCCGTCTTGACTTCAATTTGTCCTGTGAGTGTCAAATTTTCTAAAACATATTTCTTTATTATGTGCCCTAAGCATTCCAACTGTCTCTTTCTGGTGCAATTTATAAGTGTACTTTTTGCTTCTATTTTATTTAAAACTTCGCCATTACTCACATGTTCAGTCCATGTTATTCTGAGCTTCCTTCTGTAGAACCACATTTCTGTTGTCTCTATTTCTTTCTTCATCTGAGATGAGATTGTCCAGCATTCACTGCCATCTTGGATAACTGATAGTTTGGTGGACAGGTATTCCTTCTAGAGATAATGCCACCCCATAATACTCGTTACAATGGTTAGCGTTGTAGTTGTTTAAATTATTAAGAATAAGTTTCATTTAACCCAAAGAATAAACATCTCTGATTCTTTCTTTCTCAACTATGTCTCTTCTTGCTTGAGTGATCATGGTTCTTCACAGGTTCCTATCTTTGGCTGCTTTCAGGAATAATTACTCGATTAGAGCACCTCTTTGGCGTTGTGATGTTTCCTCCTCCGTACATTTTTTAAACTTCTCAAATAGGTTCTTTCTTTATTTTTATATATCATTTCTCTTCAGTACGTGTGAAATCATGGTCCTCCACAACTTCCTATTTTCGATTCTCTCAGCAGTACGATTTATATTTATGACTCCTCTGCCTTTGTGGAGCGTGATCCTCTACAACTATTTATTTGGTCTTTTAATTAAAATTTTTATATCTTTGTCTATTCCGGGTTTGTAGGATCATGGTTCTTCACAGCTTCCTATCTTTGATTTTTTTTTATCAATACTTACACGATTATGACCTCTCTATGATGTTCTGAACCTGTTCCGATCTGCCATTTGTTTAAACACTTCAAGTAAGCTCTCTATATTTCTAGATGCCTTCAAGACGTAAGTGATCATGACATTCCATAACTTCTTTGGTTGCTCTCAGCAATACTTAATTGATTATGATTCCTCTATGTCTCTGTGTTGCATTTACCTTCATACATTTGCTAAAACTCGTTCTTTCTCTATTTCCATGTGTCATTTCTCTTTAGTACTTATAGGATCATGTTTCTCCACAGCTTCCTATATTTTGTTGCTCTAAAGCAGTACTTTCTAGTTCATGATCCCTCTATGTCTTCGTATTACTTTTTATCCCATCGATAATAAAGCCTGAACATCGAAAACAGATTTCCATAAATTAGCGTTCCTTGTTTGTTATTTTTATCTGCTAGGGAATATAAAGGTTATTGTTAAAATATCAATATGACTGTGCTGTTTCTTAAAGCCAGCGTTACATTTTTAAGGACAGAATGTCTTAGAAGTCGACAAATATATGTGTTCTCAGTTCAAACGATAAAAACAGAAGAAAACCAATATTTTTCTTTTATTTGTTTTTATTCAGAAAGAGTCCGAACGAAATATTAACAGGCAAAGAAGAAAAGGAATATTTATACGCTTTTGCGAGAAATAAATAATAAATAGAAGGAGGAATCTTGCTCATTTTCTTAGCTTATTTATTCCCATGGTCATATCAGAGGTTAGAACTGGAGAAGAAAGAAATAACGCTTAACCTTACAAAAGCAAAATCAATGTACGAATAAGTAGATAACTCAAAGATTACATTAAACCATGATCCAGACGAGCTTCGGGTTACCATTTTAGGTTTTTCATGGCACTTCTCGGTACAGTTCGAGGAAAGTGATGAAGCAGTATTGCATATCTACTCTGGAAGGGACGTGACTGTACCGGATTACGTAGTACCAGGAGCATGGGGTAAGTCTTGATATAATAAAGAGATAAATACTGTATTATAAGATAGATAGATAGATAGATAGATAGATAGATAGATAGATAGATAGATATGAAAAGACAAAGATAGAATTGAACGGACTTAGATACATAGATATGAAAAGACATAGAATTGAACAGACTTAGATACATAGATAGATAATGAACAGACTAAAATAGATAGATAGATAGATAGATAGATAGATAATGAAAAGACTAAAAGATAGATAGATAATGAAAAGACTAAAAGATAGATATATAGATAGATAGATAATGAAAAGGCTAAAAGATAGATAGATAGATAGATAGATAGATAGATAATGAACAGACTAAAATAGATAGATAGATAGATAGATAGATAGATAGATAGATAGATAGATAGATAGATAATGAACAGACTAAGATAGATAGATAGATAGATAGATAGATAGATAGATAGATAGATAGATAATAGATAGACTAAGATAACAGATAAGATAGATAGATAGATAGATAGATAGATAGATAGATAGATAGGGCACATAGATGGTAACATAGATCAAACTGAATTTGAAAGAAACTCAAATTCCAGACAATGTTCCACAGTACCGAAAAGTTTTCGGACAAAGACCAAAAACAAAATAATGAAAAGTAATAAACAAAATAACAAGGAAGCTGTAACAAACAAATACCAAAACGGAATCTCTAAGACAGCCTCTAGACCCACACTTTGCCACATGTCATATTTTACAGAATTCTCCGCAGAAAATAATGTGACATCTTTGACATTGCAGAAGATGGAGACGAACAACAAAGACCTGGAAGTAGAGAGGGAAAGTTATTTTTTTTTCTTTTTTGCGTTTCGCTTCTAAGGACAAGAATAAAGAATGGCATAGACATGATTGTAGAGTGACTGTAGGAAGAGGGACTGTAGGAAGAGTGTCTTGTGTAAATACTATTGAGACAGGTGAATCAAATTTGCTTGAAAATCATCACTCATATTTTTATCATTTTACCTATTTTCATTAAACGTACTAATGATGCTCGCCTGGAAGTACATATCTGACTCAAGCATTGGGAAGTATTTATATACCTAGATGTCTATCATCCATACTATATATATATATATATATATATGTATATAGTCAACCGAGATGGAAACACAACTGATTTGACCCAAGGATTTGTCAGAGACACTCACTCTTAGGCCATCGGATCACGCGACATATATATATATATATATATATATATATATATATATATATATATATATATATATATATATGTGTGTGTGTATATATATATATATATATATATATATATATATATATATATGAGTACTCGATATAATGGATAAAGCATATGTAAATATAAGTGTGTACATTGAGGTCAACACCCAGCGGTGACAATCTGTTTCATCCTAAACGAAATCGTCCAACCTTATATAAATATATATATATATATATATATATATATATATATATATGTGTGTGTGTGTGTGTGTGTGTGTGTGTGTGTGTGTGTGTGTATTAAAAGTCAACATAGCAGCCAACGCTCAGTGACGGCAGTTGACTTCAATGTTCACTTTTATATTCATATTTACATACGCTCTATCTCTGATACTGAGCAATTTGTCCCATAAATATAGCACACTTTTAAAATATATATATATATATATATATATATATATATATATATATATATATATATATATATATATATATATATATATATGCGCGCGTTTGCATGGAGAAATGTGAGCTTAGCTTTCACGGTTTCAAGGATCTTCAAACAAACTACTAAATCGTGAAACTTAAGGTCACAAACAACTGTCCATGCAACCACATATGTTAGCTCTATCCTGGATATTAAGCACTTTTCAAAGATACTGCACAAACACAGACACACACACACACACACACACATATATATATATATATATATATATATATATATTTATTGTGTATTTAGGCAGCAATTCTTCATTTATACATAATTCATTAAAGACGAAAGACAGAGATATTTTTTTTTCTAGCCGCAGAGTGCGTAGAAACTGTTGAAATGTTCTATAATTCCGAGCACTTTCTGCTGGACTTACCAGACTCCATCCGAAACATACTAGTAGAATATACAAACATAATAATCTCATCTACATGTAAAAAAAAGTATTAAAAAGAAAAAGCCAACACTCAGTAATATTAAGTACGAACACGGCCACAATGTGCTAACTCTTTCCGGAAAAGGAAACCTTATCCTTATATCTCTAGAAACATAAACACAACATATACACCTAGTTAAAACGCAAAAATCAACTCATACCTGATTATAACTGAAAGCAGATCGATTACAAATGCTGCTCAATGGAGCATTATCGACAGCAAGCTCCGGTATTTCGGATTTATTGTATTATCCTATCGATTATTGGCTATCCGGGAAACGGTTATCTTTTAAATTATTTTAAATGAGATTGAATAGAAATAATTATGTGCCAGAAAGTCGTTATTTTATAGCTATTGTATAGAGTTATTTATTAACTTTTAACTCAATATTTATTATTGATTAATGAATAAATAATGAGGAAATAAATATACTCATATATTTATACATATATAGAGGAGGCATGGTGTAGCAGTGGGTAGTGGCTCAAACTTGAAGAGCCGAGTTCGAATACAAGTCGAATCCATTACATTCACTTACGTGCTAATACCTATGGGAAATGCATGAATCCGCTTCTTTCTCTCTCCTCCAGCTACGGGTGGTTAGCAGAACACACTGGGTTCTATAGCCTTGGATGTCAACTGGTCTAGGAGAAGGACAACTATGAATTCAACACCTCCGTGAAGGTCGTTTGGGAACCTTGTGGCTTGTTGTGCACCAGGTCTCTGTATTCGGCCCTTCAAAATGTGTGGTTGGTTCTGCACAAAGCCTTCACCACTATAATCAAATCATATGTGCTGGTATCTGGCTGTCAGTTCCTGGGAACTTAGTTGCTGACCCTCATACGTCGAATAATACGGAAGAGTCCACCATACAGGGTTTATCAAAAATACTTTTACAAACTTTGGGGCGGGTTCAGCGCCAAAACAAGGACAACATTCCAATAACATGTTCCTTCTGTTTTAACGTGTATAGTAGTGAGTTAACTGAGAAGTGTTCCGTTTAGCAATGGCAGGATATTCATACCGTGAGCAGGTAGATTTTTACATACAGCTGCGAAAATGGTAATGGACGCGAGGCTGCAGGACTGCATCAGATTGCGCTTCGAGATTGAAGGCAGCCGAGTCATCCAACCTTTGCGGCTGTTTATCGTCGCGTTGCTGAGACAAGATCCGAAGCATCACAAACTATTCATCGAGGAAGACCGAGATCGCCTCGTACGCCTGACCACGAAGAAGACATTGTACAGATTGACGGGGACGATCCAGGTATGAGCACTCATCAAGTGGTGGAAGCATGTCGTTCATTTCATTGTACCGAATGGAGGCTACTTCAAGAGCAGCTCCTGTATCCGTATCATTTGCAACGTGTGCAAGGTCTTCGCTCCTCTTAACCCTCACCACTTTTGCCGATGGTTTATTGCTCAACTGATGATCTGTTGTTTGTCTATTCAGTCTTGTTGACGGATGAGGCAACATTTGGAAGAGATGGAGTAACAAATTTGCACAACGAACATTTGTGAGTGGATCGGAATTCCCATTGCTACAGTTGTAAGAGGCAAAACATTACGCATTGACGGCATAATGGACCCTGCAAGATACCATGCAATTTTGAACGAAAGTGTCTTGCCCTCGGTTCGACAGTTAGATTTAGGTTTGTGCTGGATCTTCCAACAAGACAAAGCCAATCCATAAAAGAACATTTGAACAATTTTTACACACTTTGTTTATAAAAGAAAATACTTATACGAACACAAGAAAATCACTGTACATTGTCAGTCGTCTTTAATCAAACTTGTATGAAAGAGGGATTGCTACCCAAATACAATATATATATATATATATATATATATATATATATATATATATATATATATATATATATGAAGGGTGTAACTATTTTCTAATCAAGTATTGATTAATAAGGGTTGAAGAAGTGTCAGATCGAATCCAACCTTTGAGAGAAAAGAATCCGTTTCGAGAAAAAAATAAGTGCATTACTTTCACTTTTGGATGCGAACTATTGACGATCGTTTGTCGCGTCCATTTTCCCTACTCACCGACAAGGCAAAGAAATCAATGCGACCCGAGATTGGCTGAACTATTTCAAAGGTGATTTATTCGAGGGCTTAGCCGGGGGAAACACACTTGAGGCGTCCATTAGCGGAACAGGCGAAACTCGGTCCGGGTTGGTATGGCTTTTATTGCACGGGAGTCAAGACCCCTGTGTCACGTGACTAATGCCACTTAAGAGACGAGAAGGACGAACCGAGCAATTCCAACAGCTTACAGAAAATAAAATGAAAGAGAAAATGATAGCATCATCGAATCATCACTAAGCCGTTTTCTTAATCCGTTTAAGGTTTTTATTGTGCAGGAAAATTCTCAAGCGCTTTGCTAACAAAGCTTTATTTTTCTTTTATCCCGCCTTGCTAGTTGCTGGCAATAAACGTGATCTATTCCTTTTGCACAAATATAGGTATTTTATAATGGATGAGATTTTACAAGCATGCGGATAAGCTAATTGAACGAATGGAAAGGAAAGAAATGTCTTTTAGGCACTGTGTCCCTTCGAGACGTAGGCGACCATAGTTTTCTACAACTTCCTGTTTTTTTTATCATTCGAATTAAATTTTGTTCAATTATTATCCTTCTGTTCTTCTATCCATTTACAAAATCTTAGTAAGTTGGAGAAGTTGTTGTTCTACTGTCGGAACTCAAACGAGGAGGGACGGAACGAACAGCAGCACCGGAGACAAACAAACAAAGCAAATAAAGCAGAGACACGTCCATCGAGACGAAGAATTTCACACAGGAAGGAACGGCGCAAAGGAAGGCCGAACTTAACCAGGATACAGAAAGCGACCACGAACAAAAAGGAAAACAGAATCACGACGTTCCGTGCAATAGTAATACTGGTGACATTTTTTTCTGACGAAGCAGAAAACCGTCGAGTTATAGCCAGAAACATCATCGCTATACAGCACACGAATCATTTACATAAACAAATTCTAAGCACCGCTCAGCCCACCGCCGCGACTATATATATATATATATATATATATATATATATATATATATATATATATATATATATATTACAATTACGACTGAGTAGTGAGTTCGATCCTCACTGTGTGCTCCATACTTCCGGCCTTGTGCCACATCTAAGCAGCGCTTAGAAAATCAAGGGAACCTCGAGGCGGTGTAATGATTAGCAAGCTTGTCTCGCTAGAACAATTACGACTGAGTAGTGAGTTTGATCCTCACTGGGTGTCCTCCTACTTTCGGCCTTTTGCCACATCTAAGATACGCTTGGAAAATCACTTAGGGGCACCTCGAGGCGGTGTAATGGTTAGCAAGCTTGTCTCGCTAGAACAATTACGACTGAGTAGTGAGT